TTTTTTTGGCTAGTATTTTTAAGTCAGTCAGAAGCCAATCAAGAGCGTTGTTATTCAGTAATATCAACCGGTGGCTACTAAACATTTTAAATTGGCTCACTACTTGACTAGCCTATTAATCCCAAGTGCATCGATGAATGTACCATAGAGGTAACTCTAAGACCACTGGGTCCCGAAGAAAATCATTATTATTTTTGGCTCACTCAGTACCAGAACAACGGTCCCAAGCAGTCCCAAGCTATTTCACTCACCCCTGCATGTTCTGCATCAATCCACACACCCCTGATGTTATCTGTCAAACTTTCACAGCGAATCAAAACAAACATAGTGTAGTAATAGAATTTCAACTAGAATAGGGTACGTTAATCGTTTGCTTGGGACCAATAGGCTACTAAAGTGGTGAGCCAATTTAAAATCGTTAGTTTCGTATTGATTGTTGAATGTACCCCATTCTAGTCGAAATTCTAGTACTACACTATGTTTGTTTTGATTCGCTATGAAAGTTTGACAGATAAAATGAGGGGTTCGTGGATTTTGCAATGTTTCGAGGGGTGAATCGATTAGCTTAGGACCGAAGAGAGTACCAGAGCTGAGCCAAAAAGTTGAGCACATTTCTTCGGGACCTTCTAGTCTTAGAGTTACCTCTATGGTAATATTGCCTATTTACAGATGCATTATTTCTTCGTCTTATTTGCATTGGATTCATGACGGAAATTATGTTAATTGAATATAATTTAATGCTAACAAATCGAAGATTTGAGGATTACGCTGAATAGGTGTAAAACTATCATTTTGTCCGTGGTATGTTGAAATATTGTTAACTGTGCTTTTAGTGAGTCAACTTATGATTACATCACGAAACATCGAGTTGATGCATATTAACGATTATTTTCCGTTAGTAAATAGTGCTTAACTTTGATACAGCTAGCTAGGAGTCCCACCCTGAGACCTTACCCATAGTTGCCGTTTCGATCAACCAGGATCAACCTTTCAATTGACGGCAAGTGAGAAAAGGGAGTGTTGAAATCTTGGTTGTTACAGGTATCGATAAGCGCTCGATTTCATTTATCGTTCTGCTTACAAAATTCTTGCGAATGGAACAATGCAAAGTCAGCTCAAAGCACTGAATATTTTTCAAATGGTACTTCTGACTCTTGTTCCAAATTTTGCTGCTTCTCTCTAGACTTCAAAATGTAAGCACTTAATTCCAAATTTACGCGGTCATGTTTTTTCTCCAACGAAACCTAATGAAATCAAAGTTTGATGCAATTGGGTTCTTTAAGGGTAATGAGGTTATTGCATTTTCGTAATCTGCATTACAAATGGAAACGAAATCCAAAATTTCATCACTTTTGGAGCACTATTTTAAATAAATGTGATTACATTAGGAAAATTCACCACCTTAGCGCCCCTTGGAAGTACTTTGTATGGGAGTGAGCTGTCATTTTGTTAGGCTTGTGTCAAACAGTGAACTGATTATTTTGCTTTAAATCTTGATTTAAAAATCGACATGGATGTAAATGAGGTCGGAAAAAATATCGTTGTGCTCAGAAAACGAAGCCTTTTTAGATGATCTATAAATACCAATAAATTTTTCAAAATTAAAGAACCCAATTGGTCCCAAAAAATGAAAAAAATGTTCAAAGGAGGAAATGTTACTTACATGTTTCTTCTAAATTTACCACAGTTTTGCTGTGTGAATCAAGGTGATGAATTTGTGAAAGTAAGCTATATAATTATAAATAAAGCACATAAGTGGTTAAGGAAATAGTAAGACATGAGTTCAGGAGTGCTACGAACACATAGAATTATAAACCACGGTAGAATCATTAGAAAGAGTTGACAAGCCCCTTGATTCCCTTTTTCATTTTACAGCTGGTATAATCAATTTGACAGATCGATGTCCTTCTATACCACTTGAAATCACTGAAATGGGGTCGACTTTTAATGATCGAGTTCCACATATGTTATGTGTTAACTCGCTAGTGCAATGCAGTGAAAATATCATTAAGAAACTTCACACTGTTTCAACTCAATGCACGTGATTTTTTTAACGTAGATCAAACAATCCATTGAAGGTTCCCTCGGTGATTCTTTGGTGTTTGACCAGCTCAGTTAGCAAGGAGAATTCTCAAACTGGGCTGCACTTTTAGCCCAGCAAGCAAACAAGTACTGTATTTGGAAGAAACATCGTTCTCTTCTCTTAATTATTTACCATTCGTGAGTTTACTCAAAGGTGCTCCAATGCGCTCAAAGAATTGCTTTCTGTTGAACTCAGCTGGATCAAGCAGACGCACCAATCTACTCAAAGGATAAATTTTGTCCGACCCAACTAAGTGCAACATCTGTTATGAGACGCACATACTCATTTCGAGATTAAATTTTGCAACAACTAACGGTGCTAGCGACTTCGGAAATGGATTTTAATCAACCCTCAGGATCTCAGTTGAACTCAGGAATGTGTCAACACCCAGTGGGAGCAAAATCATCGAAATACCATTTTATTTCAGTGATGTTTGCTCAATTCGCAAAAATGCAAGTTCGCAACTCTATTTAAAATTTGAAATGAACAACCATCTTCATAGGCTCCGTAAAGCTAATGCGATTGAGCCTTCCAAATAAACGAACTGGATAAAAAAACATCTTCATACTATACCTAGTTGTTTAAGTTGTTTGAAACTAGTGAAATCAATCATACATATATATTCATAAGTTTCTGTGATTAAGAAACAATTCCCTGAATTTTAATAAAATTCCCTGCGATTCCCTGATTTTCCATACATAAAAATCAATTCTCTGATATTCTCTGATTTTCCATGTTTTTCCAGATAGTCTACACTCTGATAGAGAACAATTCGTATTATAGTGAGGGGAGCGTCATGTTTTGGTTAGGATGACCAAAACTTAGAAAAATGCTTTCATATTTAATAAGAAAAACCTAACATAATTTCAGCACATCAACCATAATAAGTACATATTTAAAAAGTTCTAAGCTTTTCCTTTCCAAAACCGTTTGAAAATTAAAAATCGATTGAAAAATTATTGAGTTAATCTCTTACTAATAACTTTAAATCTTGGGGGTGCTAGAACAATTGCAATAGGTCACTTGAAAAGTGTTTTTGTCGTGTAACACCGTGTAATGGTCGTAAAAAGAGGTTGGAGCATATATTCCACAAAGACATACGACAATTTTTCTACGCCTCGAATCATACACTGAGACAAAAGAACGTAAGAATTCCATAAGAACCACTTATGAATTTTAGCCACAAGAAATTGGCGTATAAGAGCTACCTCATGTTAGACGAAAATCTTTCATAAGTCGCGCCTTATGAAATTCTGAAGTTTATTTGCCTCAGTGTAGTTTTTTCATAAACGATAAATCAATAGAAAATAACCCATAAATTTGCCAAATTCTCCCATTCTTCCCTTTCTAATATTTGGATGTATTTTTTTTTCTCGTTGTGTGGGCTCTATATTCGCAAATGTTCCATGATTGGAGAATGGGATGTGTTTCAAGTGAAATTCATAACAGCCCCCCATAAATATGATGAGCTCCTTAAAGATAACCGCTTTTCCACCTTGAAGAAGCTTTAAGTTTTCAGCCCTCTTCACAATGCCTCCCATCAGAGTAAAAGCCCACATGCGACCTTCAACCGTTCGTTGGTTGTTATCTACCGCGGTGTAAAGCAGCGAGATACAGTTGCTGGTAAGAGGTCATTTAAAACAAGTAGGTAGAAGAGCACACAAACCAAAGCGTGAAGAATCCAACAAACATGCAGCCAAACAAATAAATTCCTAGCAAGGAAAATAAGACAAGAAATGTCATCACTGGAAATGAATGGAATGAAAGCACGACGACTTGAGTCAGCAATTTAATATGGTCCGTATTTGACTTTCATTTAGCTGCGTGTGTTTGTGTTGATTTCGTTTGGCGTATTAGGCAAAGGAAAAATAGTTAGTTTAGTTTCAAGTCTTCAATTTCGGAAAACTTTTAAAGGTGATCATCGATGTCATAAGCAAACCTTTAACTCTTTTAAGTCTTCTTTTCTCCCCATGGCTGTTTCCCCACAAATGCCAAGCGACTCAGCTTCATCGTGCTCTATGCAAATACGGTTCATGTTGGAGGAGTTACTTTCAAAACTGAAAATAGCGTACCATGGCATAATGTGTTTGCATCGCCGGGTATAACGAAAAGAAATGTTTTCTTCTAATAATGCACATGAAGAAAACAGGAAACACACATTAAATGCCAGTGAGCTTGGGTTGGATGCTTGAGGGAGCTACAGTTCGTAAGAATGAAGCAGATGCATTCGGAGCTTTGCCGGAAAATGCGAAAACTGCTGGAAATGCAAATATGAAGTGACATGACAAGAAATATGTATGCTCGGAAAGTGAGCAAGTGGAGCAGCTTTGTTGCATCAAAACGTTCGCTGATGAAGTTTGTACAGCTGTTGGCATTCGGAGGAGAAGTTGAATTTCAATTGAAAATGGTGTGGAATTAAATTAAGACTAGAGCATATCCTAAATAAAATTTAAAGGTGCAGGAAAGCAAAATCGTACTCGGTGATATAAAATGTCCAATCAAATATAAGGTCAGTTTTCATGAGCGCTGCAGAGCGAATTCATCTGAAAGAACTTATAGGCTTGGAAGAACATTTCAGAAGTTGAAATCCGTTTTTTTTTTGCGATGGAAACTATGACAGAGTAGCAAAATGCATATAAGTGCCTTCTTTCGACGTTTCTGTGTGCTTCGACGACTATCTTCTCTCTATACTCACTACACCCTCAGTCGTTGTTATCAGCCTTCTTCCCATGTCACAAATCAGAAAACTTCACATCATTTTCTTCCCTCTGAACTCGACTGGCAATCTCGTTTGAGTAGCTGAAAATTTTATACGCATCACTTCCCTTCTCTGTATTTTTATCTGCTCCACAATAGCACTGAAATTCACTCGCAAAATGGCATATTCCACTATTTCCCATTTCCCGTCTCGTTTCAGATTCACCAACTCCGGCCTCTCGAAGGAATGCTCGCCTCGCTCTAGAACTGAAAGTTTCCGGTAAGCTATAAGACTTGCTCCCATTCTTCTTGCACCCCTTTTTCTCCAGCAAAATCTAGCAGGTACAAAGCAACTTGCAACTCTGCGGGCTTGTGTCATTTCTTTCGTCCTTTTTCCTTTTCCTCAAATTGCCCCGTGGCTTTCAACAACGGAGCAGTTCCAGGTCAAATAGCGAAAAGTACCAATTTAAGATATTTCCCTTGACTAGACCTATAAATTGGAACTCCGTTCATAGCGATTATGTAACTACTACTTGGTTTCAAAAAGAAAACTTCAGGCTTATGTGGGATTATCATAAGTTGAGTTTTGGAACCGTTCAACGAATTGAATTGGTAACTCTTAAGAGTTGATGAGTAGTTGAATGCCCATGGCGGAATCCAAACTACTCATCTGCAAAAATTGAGTTCGTATTGATGTGAAGCATCATGCTATCCAAAATATCTTTTCAAAAAGTTTACTTATTGAAGAAAGCAAACTTATTGGACGGTAGCTAGAAACTTCAACTGGATTTTTATCCGGCTTCAAAATAGGAACAACTTTTTTTCCGTTTTCCATTTATCAGGAAAGTATGCCAAATGGAAACATCTGTTAAATAATTTAACCAAAAAGGGCAAGACATGAAGAGGATATTGAAAATTCCATCATTACCTGGAGCTATTGTATTTTGAAACACTTTAGCTATAGATCTTACTTCGTCCAAATCAGTCCCCCAGGAATCATCCAAAATATATTCCCGGGTGACAATATTCAGATAATCCCGCGCAACCTGATTCCCTAGAGGTCTAGTAATACCCAAACTGAAGTTGTGGGAACTCTCAAAATGCTTAGCAAATATCTGAGCTTTTCGAATTTGTGTTCGAAATTTTACCACCTCCTTTAATCACTGGAATAGGCTTTGAAGTTTTTGTTTTTAAATGTGTGAGCTTTCAAAAGGGTTTGGAACTCGGGTCCAATTTCAAATCATTATTTTCAAAAGTTTTGTTCCTCAGGGCAGAGAATCACGCTTAATTTTTTTTTTTTTTTTGCAAATTCCGTCCAATAACATTCATGGCAGGATCGCGTGTTCTTTGATATTGCCTCCTACGGACATTTTTCAGAAGGATCAAGAGCTGAAGATCATCATCTATTATAATTTAATCGAATTTAACCTCGCATTTTGGTACTGAGGCAGCTGTTGCTTCAATTATACCGTATGCATGATAATGTTTGCACCATCGTACAAATAAGGTTCCCGTTTCACCTGTGTATACAATGCCTTGGTTTACTTTGCATGCATGTAACCTATAGCTCATACCGTAGTAGGCTGTGTATAAAAGAAAACGATTTACTTAGTTTGACAGTTGCACCATGACGAAGTGGCAGCGTGTTCGTGACGCGCAAATGTCGCAAAAAGAAATTTCAATCGCCGTGGGAGTGTCCCGGTGGACCGTCAAAAGGGTTTTAGACCGAGGAAAGAAAGGACAACTATCCGCGAAGGTGGCCACAGGTCGTCCGCAGTCAGCTCGGGCTCCGAGGGCTATCGCTGCTATCAAAAGGAAGATTCGGGTGAATCCAGTGCGTTCAATAAGGAAAATGGCAAAGGAACACGGGATCAGTGACTTTACGGCACGGAAGATCGTAAAGGAAGATTGCGGGGTGAAGTTGAGGGCACGGAAAAAAACTCACATTATAACCAACCGCATCCGGGAGCTACGAGTCGAACGATGCAAGAAAATCTTGAACTTCATTAAGCGAAAAAATCCAGGTATCCTGTTCACCGACGAGAGCATGTTTACCGTCGATCCCGTATCAAATTCCAGAACCGATCGGTATGTTAGTTCTCTTCCGGTAAAAGACGTGGCCGGCGAGCACAGGAACGTGTATCTGACCAAGCATCCTGCTAGCGTTATGGTGTTTGGATTGGTGGTTTCCGATGGCAAAAAAATGGACCCGGTGTTCATTCCAGAAGGCGACAAGGTCAACACGGAGGTCTACATCGGGATTTTAAGTAGGTATGTTCTTCCGTGGATCAAAGAACAGTACAGTCCGAAGCCAAATGTTGTATTTCAACAAGATGGGGCTCCGTGCCACACCTCGAACCGCACTCAGAAGTGGTTGCAGGAACATCTTCCGTTCTGGGCGAAGGATATGTGGCCGCCATCCAGCCCCGATCTTAATCCGCTAAATTACTCAATATGGCGCGTCATGAAGGCCAAGGCCTGTTCTAAACGCCACCCGAGTACAGCAAGCCTCAGGGTACGGCCAGGGTAGACGCGACCAATTCAAAAGAATCTTATTATTTATTATTATTCCTTGCGTGAGTCGCTTCGCGTCGCGTCGCGTGTCGCGTCTACCCTGGCCGCAGCCTCAGACAAACATTGACCCGTACACTGAACGAATTTGACATATTTCTGTTATGTGGAAGTCTAATAAATTTGCGCTATAAGATAATCCATTGAAAATGATATGATTGAAAATGGGTCAGGTAAATTCTATATGAATATCTGATACATTTACAATGCTGATAATTTGGTAACTTTTATATGATCGTCATATGATAAATGAAAATCGATCAAATTATAATAATTAACTGAAATGGATTTGAAACCCATAAGCATAAGCTATACTTTTCACCACAATATAATATATGTGTCATAAATCAATCGAAGTAAAGTTTATGTGAAAATAACATGAAATTTACTTCTTCTTTTGACACATATATTTAATCGATTTCTAAAAATAAATTCGAAAAATAAACATCAGGCAGTGGGAGCTTTCACAGTTGTGCCTTTTTTTATTGTAGCTGATTTGGGATTCGATCAAGATCTGTTGAGGTGTGATGCTTTCGGTGTCTGTGCTCGATTCAACTGGGCCACGGCTGACTTCAAGATTGAGCTCGTTCAAATAGCATGAAGTAAGAACAGCTCTCCCGACATGGAATGTAGTGCAACTTTATGCTCGTTTTGCTAGAGTGAAGACAAATAGCACTGACAAATTTATGTTCCGTTTCGGTGGTGTGGTTTGTTCAAATCTTTCTTAATGCACCTGTGTGCAATAAATCAACGACTAAATTATATGATTTGATAGAACTGGCTCATGAAGTTCGAGTACTACTTAGGGCTGGAATCTGAATTAGCCATGTAGAAGGCTTACAATTAGAATAATAGCAAAGTAAATATTACAGTAGAACCATTTTTTTTTTCAATCTCAATACATTCTTTTCTGGAACCAATTATCATATGAATGAGTGTACGTGTTAACATCGTTGAAAATTGTTTCAATAATTTATGAAGAACAATCATATAAGATGTATTTTATTGGGAGCGATATTCATCCCAGAAAAACATGCAAAAACAAATGCTTGCTGTTGGATTTCTTAAAAGGCATTTCTATATGACTATTTAATGCTTGGGATAGATCTGTTTACAATCTTTAAACGTCAAAAATCAAAGCAAGCTATTACAATGAGATATACATGTTTTCCTATACTGCAAAGTTAAATGACAGTCCAAAAGTTTCTACATGTCTATTTACACGCGACATATCAACAAACGTCAAAAATCAGTAAAAGCAACTCCAATAAAATATACATGATTATCTTATAAGATATATATTTTAGTGAGCAATATTCATCATGAAAACAGGTATATTTTACTGAATTTTCTCATAGTGCAAACTTATATGATTTTCCATTAGTTTCTAGATGTCTGTTCCCATCCATGACATATCAACAGTTTTTCACCATGAAATATATCAGACAATATTCATATACTTCTTACCTTCGCTAACCACGTTCGAAGCAAAGTATTATCAAGTACTAAGTATGTGAAATTACGATAGAAATCATTCCATATCGCAGTCATAGTTTTTAAGTGATAATCCAATGGAATCTATCAATCATCACATAGAATGAATAAATCTGCTGACATTGCTATGTTATAAGATGGATCCAATAAACGGTACATGTCGATTTGTTTCAGTGTACCTGGAGAGAAATGGATCCAGACTACATTATTAGAACCGGTCGTGCATTCCGGAAGCGTGTGGAGGCCGTAATTGCAGCAAGTGGAAACTCGATCGATGATTAACATTGTTTAAGACTCTGAGAAACGGGTTGTTTCTTTGAATAAATAAAAAAAACTCGAAAACGAAATTTTTGAGATTTTTTTTTAATTTGGACGTTGCACGCATACGGTAGATGAGTGGTTTTCGTGCTATGCAGTGCTGATAAAAATAATTTCTAGATAAACATTTTAAATGTTCCTATTTGCTTTGATCGATTCTCTTCATCAACTTTCTGTTCGGTCATAGCTCAGCTGCAACACCTTGCCCAGTTGTATTCGACATTTTGGACGCTAGATAAGAACCTCCTTTATCAAACTATGTGGTAAAATTTGCGCGAAATCAGTTTGCATAGCAGTTGTTATCAAAAGTGAGAGTCGATGAAGAGAATAGATCAAAGTAGATAGGTACATTTCAAACTACCTGCACGAATTTGAATTTCGTCATGACAGCATTCTCTTGATCAAGGCAAGTTTCGAACCAACATTTCTAGATAGAGCTGGAATTAGGGCGTAACAGCTTTTGTAAACAATGAAACCATGGCACTCCATGGCAAATCGACATCACCATCCAGTAGAGGAGGACTTCTCCTACCCGATGGATATGATGCTTTGTGTAGGCGAGCCTTGAATTCCGAGAAATCAACGAGAGCAGTCAAAGGCTGTTTTGCCCTAATTCCAGCTCTATCAAGATTTGTTTTTGATAATTCGTGTACACTCAAAAATAATACTAATCAAGAATATACTGAGCTTTAATCTTTATTATATTTAGCAGTCTTTATACGTCTAAAATCTATTCTATGAAAAAATACGATTAATTCTTTACAATAATTACAAATGATTGTAAACATTATCAACATAGAAAACTGAAACATCAAAATAAACCGGTTTGAAGGAAAGCAGCAAAAGCTAATTCAACCGTTTGACGTGATATTGATCAGATTCTTACTTGATAATAAT